TTATACTCTATTAAAGAATTACATTGCTAAATCTTCCATCCAAAAGGCACCCGGGTAGAAACAGAGGTTGTGAACAGTGTGGGGAGAGCATCAGGCTTGATGGATTTAGTATAACCAGGCCATGCCTGGGCTTTCAAAATCCTTATTTCTTGGTTCCGTCTGCATGGCCACAAGTTGTAGGGAGGGAACATTCATGAGGGAATAAGTGTGCACATTTGAAAGAACTTATTGTCTTTATACAGTGAACCTACCCAGATCAGGCCTTGCCCTTTCTGTTCATTGCCAAAGAAGTAAATCTGCAGGCTGTCGTGACCTCAGGCCTCCTCCTGTGTCCAACTCACCTTTCTCTGATATCCATTTCTTTTGCTTGCAACTGGGACAGTCATTGAGCCTCCACCATATTCATGATGGTAATGGGATGCAGCATTACTGCCTTGACTCTTATTTGAATCAGTGCCTGTGCTAAAAACCAATGCGTGGACACCAAGATTGGCATCTGGTGGGAGCTTCGGGCTCTAGTTTGGACCAACAGATTTCTAAATTGTGTGTATGCCATTTATTTGCTAAGCTCTGGACGAACTGCATAAGTAATTTAGGAGACCCCTTATTCCTCCAGGTTTCTGTTCAAATGTCCCCTTATCACGAAGCCCTCCTTCCCTGACCACTGGAGGCAAAATAACTCTGCCTTTTTCCCACCTGTCACCCACTTCCTAGCACATTATCTCCACTTGAAATATATTTATTCATTTATATGTTATCCCACTAAAATGTACAGCCCGTGAGAGCAAGGGCTTTGTCTATTTTGTCTATTGTGATATTTTATCACCTAGAATAGCATGGGGCCTGTAATATATGGCCAATGGGAATCTGTGGAACAGATGCAGAATGGTACGAGGGGTGCTAGGTGGTATGCTGCCAGTCTACTGTAGAAGGGCCTGGTTCCCAGGAGAAAGCACAGTGCCCTCTATAGCTGCTCTCCAATTCTTAATTTCTTTGAGCAAACATTTATCAAGTGCTTGGGACCAGGTGTTAAAGGTGCACTCAGGGTTCAAATATTGGTAGAGGGTGTAGACATTTAAATTAAATCCATCCTTTAAGATCCAGCTCTGGAATCAGCCCCTCCTGGGGGCCTTTCTTGAACAGGCTTCTTCTTTCCCAAAGCTAGATTAGGCACCATTCTTACCGTGTCCCATAACATCCTGTGCAGGGCCTTATCATGGCCCATATGTAAAGCAGACAAGTACCACGCAACGTGCTTTGTGTTTCCCCGTAAGAGCTCCTTAAGCACGAGGATAACATCTTACTCATCACTGACTATAGTGTTGGACACACAGAGTCCTCGGTAAACACCAGTTATCCTTGTTATCGCCGCTGTTGCTATGTGCATTCAGTAACCAGCATTCACATAGCTGTGGACGTGTGTAATCTCATTTGAAAAACTATATCTGTTCTAGGGATGTAATGAAAGTTGTTAAAAGAGTCAATCCTAAGAGTTCTCATCACAAGGAAAAAATTGTTTTCTATTTCTTTAATTTTGTACATATATTAGGTGATAGATGTTTTCTAAACTTACCGTGATAATCACTTCATGTTGTATGTAAATCAGATTATTATGCTGATCTCCCTGTGCTATGCGGCTGCTTCCCACTAGTGACCGCCTAGAGGGGTGGGATAGGGAGGGTGGGAGGGAGACACAAGAGGGAGGCGATATGGGGATATATGTATATGTATAGCTGATTCACTTTGTCATACGGCAGAAACTAACACACCACTGTAAAGCAATTATACTCCAATAAAGATGTTAAAAAAATTGTCATGCTGCTTACCTTAAACTTATACAGTGCTGTGTGTCAATTATATCTCAATAAAACTGGAAGAAAAAACCCCAGAATTATAGGAAGAAATAAAGAGCATTGGAAATGGTGAATATAAAATAAAGCAAAAACAAAAACAGAACTATATCTGTTCTTCTGAAGATATATAAGGCTTAGAAGCAGCTCTGTATTATGCTATACAATATTATTTAATGTTATGTTCTATAATATTCTCCATTTCAAGCTCCCCTTGTGTTCTGGGGGGATGCAGGGATCACTTAGACTGGTCTAGGATCTTTACAAAGAGTTCTCCGGGGACTCCCTGCATCCCCAGAGGCCAGCCAAGGCTCTGATGTACTTTAATAATGATTTTCTATGTGCAGAGGTTAGGAGCTCCTCTGAGCCTGGACCACATGTTTAACTTCAAGAGGGCAAGTCACAGGCATTCTTTCAGTACTTGTGGGTTCATGACATTTTGATGCTGCCACTTTGACGTGGCTGTTTTGATTCAGGGCTTCAGGGACATTTTGTCATGGCTTAAAAGACAAATCATTAAACATACAGCAATCTTGTGCAACTAAGAAGTGTGGCCAGTAGGCATCCGACCACACTGCTGGATCGGGTGTGTACGTTAACCTAATATTTGTGTGTTTTCACTTGGACACGGCTGCCTTGATGCTTGACACTTTCATCACATCATGTGGATCCTGCCAGAATGTCTGGTTTAAATACGTGTGAGTCTCACTGAAATACCAACCATGTGCCTGATTCTAACTTCGGTGGCAGGAGGGCTTCGAATGAAGCAGAAGGCAGGGGATTACTCTCTCAAGGGGCTCCTAGAGTTTTTGCCAAGGGCTGGCTAACGAACGCATTCACCATTTCTGAACGCGTACGGCCCCCATTCTCCGTTGGCAGTTTCCTGGTTTACAGCTTCAGATTACTGGCTGGAGAAGTGTTTAAAAAAATATAAAAAGTCCTAATGCAAGCATAGAAATATGGTCTATCTGTGTTAAAAAGATAGTTTTGATCATTTTCCCTGCTGTGCTGTAAAAAGAACTTTTCCGTCTGTTTCACTTGGTGATGGGAGGGAGTGGTACTTAACTGCTCACCGGTCAGAAAGCCCCCGTCTGCTTGCTGTGAGCTTCATGCCCTATTTTCTTCTTTAGGCTGTCTGAGCGATCATTAACACACACGTATGCCAGATAGAGATTGCCCCCAGACTAACTAGATGAGTAGAATATTAGGCCATTAAGGGAAGCCCAAGAAGCTTATATTTTGACTATTGTTATCATCTGTGGGCGTTCTACCAGACCATGTCACATTATTCCTAATTTTAAAATATTCTGTTATTTATTTATTTATAATTTTTATTTTTTATTGGAGTATAGTTGATTTACAATGTTGTGTTAGTTTCAGGTGCACAGCAAAGTGATTCAGTTATACATATACATATATCCATTCTTTTTCAGATTCTTTTCCCATTATAGGTCATTACAGACTATTGAGAAGAGTTCCCTGTGCTATACAGTAGGTCTTTGTTGAATATCTATTTGATATATAGTAGTGTGTATATGTTAATCCCAAGCTCCTAATTTATCCCTCCCCCCCCCACCTTTCCCCTTCGGTAATCATAAATTTGCTTTCTAAATCTGTGAATCTGTTTCTGTGTTGTAAATAAGTTCATTTGTATCATTTAATTCTGGAAGCAAGTATATTAGGCAGCCTGTTATGAAAAAGTAAGTCTTGTGTTGGGTCCCTGGTCTTGACTCTGAGACTCTGGAAACTAAGCTTGGTGTCTTGAAAGAACGATGGTGCAACTGGGTGGGTCCCCGAACCTAGATGTCACGCTTGTCGTGAATGTTCCCTGGAGAAAGGAACCACTTGTGTTGGCTGCCATGCCAGGCCCCCAACATACATTATCACGTTTAACTTCCACAAGGTAGGCCTCGAGCCCTTCTTTCTATAAACAACACAGCTAGCAAGTGATAGAGTCATGATTTGAACCCAGGCTCTCTGTTTCCCAAACCCACACCATTTCCATTATAACCAGTGATTCCAAACCACTAAACTGAAGACTTCTGTTGGTTCCAAAGGAAGATCTCCCCAGTCTGTGGTGAGAATATCTGGGTAAAGCTGACACCTGCCTATCTGGGAAGGTACTGTCATTTATTCGGAGACTGTGACTTGTCTTTCTAGGTGTTAAAGAACTTGTTTTGTTTGTCACATGGCGGTGGTTGTAAATGGCAGCTAACAAAAACGTCCTAAGACGTCAAAGTGAAAAATTGGCCTCCCTATGTTGGTCCCCAAGCTTAAATTTGAAATCTTATTGGCCTGGGAAGTGACATAGCTGGGAAAAAAAGGCAGTATACTCATTATCCTGTCAAGGGCTCCATTGGCAGAGTCGTAGCATAGCTTGGGTTCACATGGGGTTTTTCTGGGGTGCCTCTACGGGTGAAGGTGATCGCATGTTTCTTAAAGCCATACTTCTTTGACACTGGGTAGCATGACTATTGGCAGCTTAGAGGAGTCCTGATAATGCAAGTGACCTTTTAAAAACCACAATGGAATGAATTTTTTTTAACTAGATAAACCATCTTTTCCAAAAGAGAGGTAAAACTTGGACTACTAGCATTTATGACTATTCTGTGTCCAGAATGGGGAAGGCTTGAGCTCAGAGGCATTTAATTTAGCAGTGACTTAGGCTGTGACGCTCCTGACCTTAGATTATTCAAAAGCCATCTTCTTGCTGTTGATACAAGAATGAAAGAGCTCAGGTTTTGAAGCCAGGCATATATGGAGTTTGACTATCCATTCATTTTAGCCTGTGACCCTGGGCAAGTTACTTTCTGTAAAACAGGGCAGAGATACTTGCCTCAGAGTTACCATGGTGGGCAACTCTTGGAAAAACCTCCCACTGCCTATGTGATGCCTTTTTCTGTGACGATCCAAGATAATAGGGATAAAAGCACTTGGCGTGTTGGCGTTCACTGTGTCTTAGTAACCTGCTTATAGGCAAACTGGAATTCAGGGTGCCCTGAATTGCCCTGGTTTTTACTTTCCTGCCCATGGTTCCAGATTCCCAGCTGTGCCTGGGGAAGGCTGTTTCGCCTCCTACAACCTGAGACCCTCAAACTGCAGAGATGCCCAGTGGACTCTAAGCACTGCCTCCCCTTCTGTTTTAGTGCCAACAACATGCCCAAGCAGGTGGAAGTACGGATGCACGACAGCCACCTCAGCTCGGAGGAGCTGAAGCCCCGGCATCTGGGGCTGCGCTTGTGTGACAAGCTGGGGAAGAATCTCCTGCTCACGCTGACCGTGTTCGGTAGGTGACAGGCCTGCCCCACCCTCCCCTCTTCCCCTGCTCTCTCCTGGCTAAGTGTGGAAGCTGCTTCTGGAAGCCAGCCCTCCCCCTGGAAAGCAAGCCACACGCTCTGCCTAACTCTGCCTTTACCCAGGCACGGCTGCCTCAGTGATCCCATCTTCCCTGCCACCTGCCCTAGCCATGTTTGCCCCCTTGGGACTCTTGTGGTTCTCAGATTTCAGTATGCGTGCACATTTCTCATGGGTATGTCAGCATGCACGTTCCCAGGCCCTACTCACAGAGACTCTGGGCTACTTGGAGTGAGACCTAGGAATCTGCATCTTAACAAACCTTCTAGGTGATTCCAAAGCAGATGGTCAGTATACCACATTTAGAGAAATACCTGTGTCCAGATAAAGGCAACAGTTGCCCTAAACCCCACTAACAGGGCTCCCAAGGTCTAAACTTCTTCAAGCACCTCATTAACTTAGATTCAGTTATAGCACATTAGCTAACGAGGTCCGTGTGGAAGAGGCTTGTCCCAAAGCCTTGATCCACTCCAGCTTCACCTCAAAAGCCTTACTCCCCGGCCTCTGGCCTCACACAAGCGCTGGTTGTCCTTTTGTGTGACAGTTGATACAGACTTGGCCTTGGGTTTTCAACCAGGATTGATTGAAAATGGGGAAAATTGTGGTCTCTTATAGTGACAACCACATCTTTTCCTTTCTCAACCCCCCCTCCTTGTTCTTCAACTCTTATGAGGCTATACAATGAAGCAATGAAGAGCCATCTACACACACACACACACACACACACACACACACACACACACACCCATCGTCCATGGCTTCTCCTTCGAGTCAGTCATCTTGGATGTTGGTGGACTAGAGTCAGGACTGGGAAATTGCCCCCCAGCTCAGTTCACTTAATAGAAGACCACAGGCGTGGTAGGGTTTTCTAAGGGTTACCCTCCACAGAAGCAAATTTCATTCATCATAGGTTTTGAAGCAGTGTGTTTTTCACCTGTGGAAGAAAAAAAGATAAGGCCTTTGGCCATGTTACTCCTTTGCATATCTGGAGTTAACACCATAGCTACATACCTAGGACCTCCCTCCCCCCCTTACTCCAGAAGGTAGTTTATGTTGGCCACCAGTTTGGAGAGATCCAAGGTTTTCTTGTGGAATCCCTGCGTATGCAAAGAGAAAGGCTCCTGCCAGCATCTCTGCCCAAATTGTTTCCTCCCAAACTATATATTTTTAGACACCCCCCTTGACCTCCCCTAAGATCAGCAAGTCTCAAGATTATGTACAAGGACATAGAAATCAAAGACAAAACTTCTTGAGGATAAGCCATGGGGAAATGATCGGAAATCAAAGAAAATAAAAGAATAAAGAAAACACCCCAGCTTGGTCACTTAAATGTTCCTTTTATCTGGTATTCAATTCAAAAGGGAAGAAAAACATTAAACACCATGGAATGTGGCCAGCCTAGGCTGCGAAGAGACGCAGTATCTGGCACTGTGGATTATTTCTGCTGACAATCTGTGACTCTGCAAGTGGATGATATCCTCAAAGAAGTCAGAGTCAAGTTGCCAGGTTATATTTCCCACGAAGCCTTGAGAAGGCTCTTCTTGACTCTTCCAGTGCTGCCTTTTAGAATAGTTGGAGATACAAAGTATTTTCTCACGAGTCATCAAAATCAACTTCACTTTTCTAATGGTATTTTTGTTACGTGTTAGTCATCACCTGATGACGGAGAAGTATGAGGAAGGTCAATGTCATTGAACTACATCCCTAGAGCTATTCATTTGATGAGGGCAAAAGCTAAATTCATATTTTTCCCCCTTTCTTATAGGTGTCATCCTGGGGGCAGTATGTGGAGGGCTTCTTCGCTTGGCATCTCCTATCCACCCTGATGTGGTTATGTTAATAGCCTTCCCGGGGGATATACTCATGAGGATGCTAAAAATGCTCATTCTGCCTCTAATCATCTCCAGTTTAATCACAGGTAAGACCACCTCTCTGGCACCGGGCCAAAGCGGGTCATACTCCCACTCCAGCTTTTGGATTGACCATAGATTCTCAATTTGGTTGAATCAGTGAATGTGATCATCTGTGTCATTTCACTTCAGAGCCTTGGTTTTTCCTGTCTCTAAAATTGGGATAAGCAACCCTAAAAAAAGAGTTTGCCGTCTATTGGTTGGTCCATCTGTCTGTCTAGCAACAAAAGATAAAAAGGAAATAGCCACATGTTAAAAGCGATCATATCTAGTGATTTTAATTTTTAATGTATACTTTTCTCATTTCCCAAATTGTATTTGTCCAGAAACTGACAAATAAAGGTAACAAATAGAAAAAGAAGTTTTCTCTTTACTACTTAATTGGGTGTACAGGGAAGTGGGTATTAAAAATAAATGAAATACTAGATATGAAACCCTTCGAGTTTTTCAGAAGAAAGGTACCCTTAACGTATAGGTCATGTTCACTTGTCTTTTGGCTGAAAGAGTTATTTTATTTGAAAGAATTTTTTTCCCCTCCCTGGGCTTATTACTGGTAGTTTCCTCCTTACCAAATAATATTACTCAAACAAGGTATAAATTGATGATGTTTAGAGACTGAGCTCTGAGTTGGGGATGAAGAACTGGGCTTTGGTTCATATCTGGGTGCCAACAGGCTGGGTGACCTTGACAAAGCTGTCCCTCTGGACCACCCACCTTGTGAAGGTAGTGAAGCTCTGGTAACCCCAAGAGATTCAGATGCTACAGTCTCATAGCTGGTTGATCAATGAATCCAGTGAGGGAAAGAGCTAGGACTCAGTGTTAGGAGGATCCTATCATTCAGCCCCAAATTGAGTGAAGCTATGTTTTACTTTAAACGCTCCTTTTTAAACCAGAGAAAATTTGTTCTCCATGCCTGTTTAACAGGTTGTACACTGGCCAACCTGGTAAGGAAAGCTCACTTCCGTTGGCCAGAATTAGACTTCAGGTTGTAAGGAGAAATGTGTCACATATGGGTCAGCTTCATTCAGAGAATTATTAACATCAGTAATAACTTCCTCCCCCATGGCAAAAAAGACTGATCCCCAGAAAGGGTTGCATCTCTCAGTCTAGTAAAAGCAGGAACTGAAACCAGGAAGTAGAAAAACTGAAGAAACTACTGGAAAAAAAAACCCGATGAAGGCTGGAGTTTTTGTGACTTGCTTGGAATTTCCGCTAACCATCACAGAAGCTCCTGAAATATAGATGAAGCTCCCACCCATGCTGGGTGTTTTGTGCACCTGTTCTCACATCCCTACTTGAGATCAGAAAATGTGGTGTCCATCAAGTTTCACCTCAGGGGAATGAGAAGGCTGTGCTAGAATCACTTTTCCAGACTTTTGATTTCATGACCAGTAATGTATTCAAAAGACGTTCTGAATACATAGGGCTACCAATCTTTTGATTTCCTAAGCGAGGACATTAAAACCAACAAAAAAAACCTAGCATGTACCAGGACCGCCACTTCATAAAGAAAGGATATCTTAATATCAAATAAGTGGGAAGGACATAATCTCAGAATTAAAAATTGAAGAGAGTATTCAATTTTAACTCACTATTGCAGACTGACAAAAAGTAGTCACCAACCAGTTTATAAACCCTGAACCAGATGTTCTCCAACTCTCCCCAGTTCTCTAGAATCTCAAAAATATCCTTGGAAAATTGAACTGTAAACTGTGGAATTGACCAAATATTCACGTGAACAAGCTGTAATTAACCATTAATACGAAGCCAAGGGTTGGCTCTAGGTATGCAGAGAGGGGCAAGTAACAGGAAAATAATAGAACTAATGCTTCTGGATTTCCTTTCCATCCAGGGTTGTCAGGCCTGGATGCTAAAGCCAGTGGCCGCTTAGGCACGAGAGCTATGGTATATTACATGTCCACGACCATCATCGCTGCGGTGCTGGGGGTCATCCTGGTCTTGGCTATCCACCCGGGGAACCCCAAACTCAAGAAGCAGCTGGGGCCTGGGCAGAAGAACGATGAGGTGTCCAGCCTGGATGCCTTTCTGGACCTTATTCGAAATCTCTTCCCTGAAAACCTTGTCCAAGCCTGTTTTCAGCAGGTAACCTAGAGTTCTGATATCCATTGTTCTCCAAACTCCTAAGTTACAAAGGTGGTAACTTAGAGACTGTTTCAACAAATCAGCTCTGGGGAGTAATTTTTTTCATATTTATACTCTGCCTAGGGGTTGTATGGGGTCATCTGGGGCAGGAGTTTAGGACTGGAGTCGTGTTGTCTTTGTTTTTTTAACCTTCCCTTTCTTTGGCAGTACACTTAATAACATTTAGCTCTGGGATCACTCTTCTTTTTTTCCTTTGATCTCTTTTTCTTCTCTTTGGTTCTTGTCTCTGTGTCGTCCAAGGGGACATTTTGATCACCCTTGCCCACAACTCTCTAGAGTACTCAGTGGTTCTTGATCTTAGCAGTATAGCAAAACCACACGTGGTCCATTTAAAAATGCACGTGCTCTACAGAATCAGAATCTCCAGGGTGGGCCCGGGGACTGGGTATTTGTCAAATTCTGGTAGTAATACATGAGGATTTTGGAAAGTTTATAGATGCACATAAAGTAAAAATTCAAGTCCCCGCGTTGCTTCCCTAGAGCTACTCATGTTTCCTCCTATATATTTTCTTTGTCACATACGCGTGTGTATGTGTGCATAAAATTAAAAAAAATTCAGCTCTGGTGGTGCTGCATCGTACATACTGTGTTACACCTTGCTTTTTCGTTTAACAGTGTTTTCGCGTCATCTCTCTCTTTCGTTTTTCATTGTTGTGTAGTATTTCTAAAAGATAAATTCTAGAAGCAAAACTGTCCTGTCAAAGAGTTGATATTTTGAATTTGCTGGATGTTGCAAAAATAGCCTTACAAAATTTGTATCGATATATATGTTCCTACCAGCTGCACACAGGCATATCTAGTTTTTAACACATGACTTTTAAAACCAGTTGATTCTGCTGGGTGTGTTACCGACCAGGGTTCTTGGACTCTCTAATCAATAGAAATTGATAAGAGGCCAGATGAGAAATTCAGGCAAGACTTTTCTGGACTTGTGCTGCCGTACAGCGAAAACAAGTAACAGCTTCCCTTGCTCCCTCCCTGGGGGTGGGGGGCAGGGCCGGCAAGCTGGTCCCTTAAATGGGGTGAGGGTGAGGATGGGTCCAGGGCTCAGGCGGGAGGGGTGGCTTGGGTGGCGTGCCCACACCCTTGGTGGTGCTGTGTGCAGCTTTTGCTTTTGCTCCAGACACCTCAGAAGTGGCAGTTGGGTTTTGGGTCTTTCTGTATCTGGTTTTCATAATTTGCCCCAACTGTGCATGCATGCAGTTATTTTTAGTCCCTTATAGTTTCTGTGTATTCTGCTGTCTGTCCAGGTGCAAGCACTGCAGCAAAGAGTCCCAGATATCCCGGGTCCCAGATCCCAGCCTCTCTCAAGTGGAACCACTGAGTTAGCTGCCCAGGCTCCCCTCACCAGCCTGTTGTCTAGACCTAAGGCTAGTTTAGGTTCGAATACACCTCAGTTCACATTAACTCTGGCTGGAAGTAAACTAGAATCAAGGAACCTCCTTCAACCATTTCCAGGGAATCACAGAAGAATACATTGAGGAAACAGGTCGCAGAGAAGAAAAGTCTGCATTCCCAGCTGCCCCCAAAGTGCCATTGCCAATCACTGCTGAGCCCAGTTGACTCTGGATAAATCTGGAATATGGTCTCTGATTTCCAATACCACTTCAGAGGCACTTGTAGCAAGGAGCTATATTAAAGGAAACATTCCAGGCAGGGGAAGTTGGGTGCGGAGTGAATAGAAACAGGCTAGGGAAGGGGTGCTTACCGGTACCCTCTCTGTGCAATGTGCCTGCCCCTCAGCCAGCCTGCTTAGAAAGATGAGTTTGCTTGCTTTGGGGTGATAGACGCAACCGGGTGCCAAGACTATTCTTAACGTTTTGGAAAGAGCGCTCTGGAGCTGTAGCAGCTGGAGGCTGAGCTGGTAGGAGTCTGGGGGTAGGGGTAGCATCGGAGGGACGGGGAGGGACAGATTTGGGCCTCCCTTCTGTGCCCCATCACGACCATGCTCCATGCAAGAAGGAGTCCCTTTCGTCTGAGTCAGTGAGGCGGAACTGAGAAGCAGGCAGCACCCAGAGCTGTTGCTCTGGGCTGGGGTGAATTTCTGTGGTGTCAGCCATGCTTATGCTCCCTGACCTGTCTGGTCAATAGACAATCTCTAGTGTCCCCCAGGGCAAGGGGCACTGGGGGACACTAGAATAGAGGACCACGCCATTCCCTGCCTCAGCCCTGCCCTGGACCCACCCCTCCACTGACAAAATTCATCTGAGGAGTGAGCCTTTAGTCCTCCAGCTATAAGCCCAAGGACATGGTCCTTTGGGTTAGGACACTCAGAGAAATAATCATGTGGAATATTTGACCGCAGGGTGAGGGAGGGTGCAGATTCCTTAAGCCAGACTCCAGGCAGCCCAGAGGAAAGGAAGCTTAAACTAGGTGCAATCCCACAGGTTTAGGAGGGCCTTGAAGAGGGTTGGAAGAAAGGGAGCTCTTTGACGGTGACATGGAATTACCAGAGAGAAAGGGTGCTGGGTGGTGCCTTCCGTGCCCTTGGGGTACAGCTGGGAGTGGTTTCAAATAGCCTGTCTTGGGTGGAAGGAGCTTCAGGACCAGAGTTAGACACAGAGACCTAAAGAGAAAGGCGTGCTGTCTCCAGTGCAGAGGCTCCTCCCCCAAGGTGGCAGGACCTGTGTCTCTGAGAGCAGGGAGGCCTCCTGTTCACTGCTTCGGGCTGACTCTGAACCAAGGTGAGGTTTCCAAGGTGGCAACAGGCTGTCAGGTGTGGCCTGACCACATTCATCAGGTCCAGTGAGAGTGACCACATGGGGTCCTTTCTTCACTGAACTGGGTTTTCTCCTTTGGCCGATATTTGGGTGCACAGGATGCCACAGAGAATGAACCAGTTGGGGTCCCTGCTCAGTGGAACTGACTTACATTCAGGGACTGCGGGGAGATAGACCAGAACAAATGTCAGGTAAACGCTCAAGGTACTTAAAAATTAAGGTAAGTGCACTCTGAGAGCTGGAGCAGGATGATGGGCTAGTACCTGGGGGAGACGTCTGAGCTGAGACAATAAGGGGTCAGAATGAGCCAGCCCGGGGCTTCCCTGGTGGCGCAGCGGTTAAGAATCCACCTGCCAATTCAGGGGACATGGGCTCAAGCCCTGGTCTGGGAAGATCCCACATGCCGTGGAGCAACTAAGCCCATGCACGTCAACTACTGGACCTGCGCTCTGGAGCCCGTGAGCCACAACTACTGAAGCCCGTGAGCCACAACTACTGAGCCTGCGCTCTAGAGCCCGTGAGCCACAACTACCGAGCCTGCGCTCTAGAGCCCGTTGGACAACTACCGAGCCCACATGCTGCAACTACCGAAGCCCGTGCACCTAGAGCCCGTGCTCTGCAACAAGAGAAACCACTGCAATGAGACGCCCGCGCACCGCAATGAAGAGCAGCCCCCGCTCTCCAGCAACTAGAGAAAGCTGGTGCGCAGCAACGAAGACCCAAACGCAGCCAAAAATTAATAAATAAAATAAATAAATTTATTAAAAAAAAAAAGAGTGATCCAGCCTGAGGAGAACTGGGGGAAGAGCCCACTAAGCAGGGGCAGAGGCTCATGGAGGTTGGCAAGCATTTGGTGAGAAGAGAAGCAAGGCTGCTGCTTGGGGAGTAGAGTGGGTGCAGGAGGACCTGGCAGGCCAGGGTCAAACTCTGGTTCTTATTCTAAGAGTTTAGGCAAGGAGATGACTGTTCTTCTATTTTTATTTTATTTATTTATTTTATTTTTTTTGCGGTACGCGGGCCTCTCCCGTTGCGGAGCACAGGCTCCGGACGCGCAGGCTCAGCGGCCATGGCTCACGGGGCCCAGCCGCTCCGCAGCATGTGGGATCTTCCCAGACCGGGGCACAAACCCGTGTCCCCTGCGTCGGCAGGCGGACTCTCAACCACTGCACCACCAGGGAAGCCCTGTTTTTCTATTTTAAAAAAATCAACCTGGTAGCTCTGGATATAGACAGAGCTCCAGATAAGCTACTTACCTGGGGATCTCAGGTAGCCAGGAAGAGGAGGTGAGTCAGTGAGCAGGCTTTTGCAGGTTTTAACGTGAGAGACTCTGGTGGCTGGGACTGGAGTTGGCAGCCAGTTGGAGTTCTTCAACCCAAACAGGCTTGAACTGAGAACTCAGAGAACCCGGCCTGTCGTGCAACCTTCAACTGAGCCGCTGAGCTGTGCTCTTTGGAAGCTGGATTTTGGAGCTGAACATAACTCATTTTGAATGCTGCTTCAGTAAACTACTAGCTGTCTGTCCTGGGGTTAGTTACTCAGCCCTGTGAGCCTTGAGGGGCTCCTGTTGACATAAGAAGTAATTGCTGTCAAAGGTGGAGCACCTGACCGCCCCCCTGTTCCTGGAAGCACCATTTATTCAGGCCCATGGCCGTTACTCCTTTGAACTTGAACTTTGGCTTCTTTAGCCTTCTCAGGATAGGCCTACAGTTGGCTCTGGTCCCCACTTTGTCCCCAGGAGGGTGACTCTGTTGTTCATGGAAGCTTCCCTTCAGATCCTTCCTGCGTTCTCTCTTTGTGCCAGCGTTGCCCAGCCCAAGGGGACCAATGAGCTGCCTGTTCCCATTCAGCTGGGGCTGCCCTTCTCCCTGCACAAGTGCATGTGGCCAGGTTAGAACACAGAGTACCTGCCTTGCCTCAGGGAATGCTGTGCTTCCCTCTCTCCCAGTTAGGAGAACTGGTCAGGTCAGCCTTGCTTACTCTTGGGCCCAGCTGCTAGTACGGTTGGGTCCATAGAGTTTATCAGGCAGCACAGGTGGTGAAAGACCTCAGTGGTGGTCAGTGCATCTGAGTTGAGGTCCCAGTTCTCCCAATAATTCTATGACATCTGATGAGTCACTTGACGTCCCCATGCCCCCTCTTCTGTATCTATTCAGGCTTCAGCCATCTGTCGCCCTACTACGTGCCAGCACCGACACTCTAGGATTCTGCATGACTTCTGTTTTAATGCCCCTGGAGGTAGAGTGTTTCTCTGGGCTTAGACGTGACTTTTCACAGCATGCAGGGTGCCTGGCACCTTTAAAAATAGGGTGGCCACCCCAGATGTCGAGGAATAGCGTGAGAGCTTCTTAGGGGGCCGTTTGCACAGGGATGCTTGGGGAACACTGAGCAAGGCTTGGCACCACCGCCCCGAAGGAGTGGGTGTCTTCCCACCTTACATATGGAATATGAGCCAGTGACCCTGCCATGGGGGCTGCTGGCAGCTGGCACATCTGGCAGCTACATGGAGCTTCCCAGCAGAGCCAGGCTCTGGGAGGAGCCTCAGTGAGAGTGGGCCTGTGAAGATTCCATGCGACAGGACCCAGGCAGGGAGAAGCAAATCACCTGGATCATGAGGTGCTGATCTGACTTCCAACAAGACCCCTGCCCTCCTGTTCGTGACCAGATCCAGGACCCTCCACAGGGGCTAGCAGGGCATCCAGCTGGGTCTCACATTTGCTACTATCTCCATGGGAATGAAACAAGCAGACAGGCATCCCTCAACTTGAAGCCTGGGTCCCATTACCAATCACACTGCTTATAGTAGTTACAAAAGAATGTTATAAATCCCATCATTATCGTGGCATGAGGACAGTCATATCCCACTGCATTTGAGCCATGAAGCGTCACTCTGTCAAGCACAAACATATAAAATATTCCCCAATTTCATAACCTTGTTTGGCCATTTCTTAATTATAATATTTTTGACATATTGGGAATTCAAACATTTATGTAAGCGGCCAGGCTTTTGGTGACCTTTTACACCAAACCTCTCATCTTTATGGTTTTTTTTCCCCACTCCATTAGATTCAAACAGTGACAAAGAAAGTCCTGGTGGCCACTCCATCAGACGAGGACAGCAATGCCACCAATGCTGTCCTCTCGCTGTTGAATGAGACTGTGACTGAGCCGCCTGAGGAGACGCAGGTGGTTATCAAGAAGGGCCTGGAGTTCAAGGACGGCATGAATGTCTTAGGTAGGCACACTGGTCTTCATCTCCTTGGGGGAGGTGCCTCTGCCGGGGCCACGTGGCCAGCTTTCCCTGCAGGTCAGCACCTAGGCATCCTCGCTTCCTTCTCAGAATGCCGATCGCCCTGCTGTCCTATAGGTGGAGCAAGAGGCTGACCCTGGGGAACAAATTTGAGGGTCACTGGGACTGAAAACTGAGAGGGGAGGGGCGAGGGAGACGGCAGGAGCAATAGCACGTGGGGACGTGGCAGCTGGACTGGGGTATGGGCGAAGGGAGGGGACTGACGTTTGCAGGGCACTTCCCCCCACTTTCTGCGTGGTGTTGGCAAGTCACTTTCTCTGACTCTCCATTTCATGAAGTTACACGTCCAATCCTTTCATTTCCTAAGCATTTCTTTTTGAGGCGCCCTTGTGTCTGTCCCAGGACTATGCTAGGCATGGGGGCTGTCCCACCCCAGCCCTCACAGTCTGTAAACAAATGCAGTGCTATCAGGAGTGAAAGTGTTGGCGCTGGTGCCAAAACGAGCTTGTCAAAAGGAGACTGTCTGGTTTAACTTTCTGGGATTTCAGTGAGCTTGGAACCTTCTGAGAGTGTCATCCCAGGGGTTCTTTGGCTCTGACGTTAGACTGGTTTTGTATCCAGTTTGGATCCCTTATGGACCACTCACGGGTTATCTAATCGTGGGCTGGCTCCTCCACTTCTCAAGATTCATCTGTAAAGTGGGCATGGGGTTGGCATTTCTCCTGTGGATCATTGTGAGGATTCAATGAGATTGTGCACGTAGGCACAACGGTACGTGCCATATGCTTTATCATGTGAGCCGCTGTCATCATTAAAGGCCGGGGGTGGAGTGCTAAGCGGCTCAGTAGAAAACACCCCACAGAGGAGAGAGTCTCCCCATTGTGTGGGTGACTCCAGTTTGCTCACTTTACTCCCCATCCACCCTCCGGGTTCACTCCCCCACCCGTAATAACCCCCATCCACTGTTAGAATGGGGTCCCAAGACAAGACATTTGGTCATAAGCTGGGAGAAATGGGAACTATGGGGATGAAGGATGTTGATCCACGCAAGCGAGATTTCTAAGGATTTGAACGAGAGCTGTTTAGAAAAGGTTGAGCTCACTTTGCCATCTAGGAGATCAAATGCCCTTGCCTCTTTGATAGGGGCATCAGATAACATACAGGGTGCCCAGTTTCATGTGAATTTCAGATAAACAGCAGATAATTTTAAAGTATTAAGTATGTCCCAAATATTGCATGGGATATACTTGTACTAAAAAAATTTTTTCATTGTTTTTCTGAAATTCAGATTTTACCTGGGAGTCCTTTTTGTTTGTTCTAAATTTGGTAACCGTTCTCCTTACTTATCCAGAATGATGGAGAAACAGAGGCGGAGGGAGGATTGCCCGACCAGTGAAAAGTGTCTTTTTCTTTGACCTGGCAGGAAGCAGAGAGTGAGGGAAGAGATAAGCTGACCGGGTTGCCAGGCAACAGAAGATCAATAAACATTGCTGACAACAAGTGGGAGGCGAGAGGAGGAAGGAGTGAGAAGATAGGAGAGCTCCTCTGAGAAGGAGGGTTTGCAAATATCCTCAGCATCTAACCCTGAGTGGCTCTTCTCTCCCACTGTCCAGATATTTGTGACCCTTTCAGGCATTCCCAAATCCCCTTGCCCCCCAAACCCTATGGTCAAAGTGGCCCCACTCTTTCTTACTGTGGCCAT